CTGCCTGCTGTGGCTGGGAAGGGGCTGAGGGATGCTCGTGCCTGTCCTGGATGGGAGCAGCAGGCACCTGCTCTTCGGCAGGCTGAATTCCTTCCCCGCAGCCCAGCGCATTAGAGGGTAAAACTAGGTTGAAACTAATCTGTGCTGGATTAGACTTGCTACCTTGATGCACGAGGCTGAACTATGTGATCGTCATTTCCCAGGAAGAGGGGAACAGCCAAGAGGAGATCCCAGAGGATCATTTCAGGCTGGAAGAGAGAATTCAATACTAGGACTCAGCTGTCCTTCAGCAGCACGTGTACACTCAGGACGTTGCCTGCCAAAGACCCTTATCCCAGCGAGAGCTCCAGGGGAGAAACCAGCCAGGAAAACAGGGCTGGGAGGGACCTAAGTGTTAGGATGAGACAATGAGATTAAGCCTGATCAGAATTCGGCCTGATAGGTTTATTAGGAGCACTTTACTGATTTGCAGCCCTGAGGCTCTTCAGGGCTTGGGAAACCCCCTCCCTGGCTCCAGCCACAGTATCAGCCCAGGTTTACATATCAGCTGTATCGGAAGGAGGTGTCAGCCACTTTGCTGCATGCCCACTCACAGCAAACTCCCCGACCACCACCGCGCAGAGCGAGCAAAGCACAGCAGCATGAGGTTTGCTGCCCAGAGCCGCCACAGCGCAACAGCTGCTCAGGATCCCTGGGCAGCCGCTACCCGTGCTATCTGCAGCTTGATTTCTAGCTACTCAAATCCCTTCTCCTAGCACTGAGCCAACACACAGGGCAGCAAGGACACGAACAAGCAGCTCCCACCTCTGTCAGCGGGAAGTTATGTAGCTTGTTTCATTTTTGCCATCCAAACCTCACCCAGAGAAAAAGCTTGCCAGAAGCGATGGCTACTTAGGGGAGAGAGAGGAGTCTGTCCCCTGCGTGGGAGGAAGAAGAGCCCCCAGCCCTGGGGCGCAGCAGTGGCACACCAGCAGTGTCCCGGGAAGCAGAGCTTCCCAGACTCAGTCCTACAGCTCCTACCAGCTGAAGGATCACGTATCCACCCTGTGCCCGAGTGATGCTGGAGGACGGCTCTGAAGCAGCAGAAACTGCAGCAACTCACTGCAAACAACACACTCCCTTCCTCCCCAACCCAAGGGTCAACACCACCTTGGCTATGGGGGATGCATTAGACCCACCTACACACCTCCTTGGCACAGGGCATGTCGTGCCTGCCTTCCAACGGCAGGTTTCAAAGGCTCCTTTTTAGCCAAGTGCTCTTATTCTACACCTTATGCCGCAGCACCTCTTTTTCCACAGCACCTCCTGGTTTCTAATCACGTAATTCTCTCTCCAGTGACCTACATAAACTTCACCTCCGCTGTCTCACCCCTGCCTGGAGGAACACACTAGTACTTTTCACTGCCTCATTAATACAAGGGTAAGGCAAGCCCACCATCTCCTCCAGGTTCTCATCTTGTGCAGCTCTTTGATTTCTCCACCTGTAACACCAAGGGGCCACTGGTTATATTAGCAAGTGACCACCAAACCCACCTAGAAAAGACCCTAGAAATCCCATCGTTGATTGTTTCAAGGTTAAAACCTTC